TCCATGCCAAGGAGGCATCAAAGCTTCTCCATGGCAAGGAGGCATCAAAGCTTCTCCATGGCAAGGAGGCATCTAAGCTTCTCCATGCCGTGAATGGCAAGTTGAAACTCTTGCAAGTCTACATGTACAGTGTACATGTACTCATCCACAGACACAAATAGCAGACAACCACACACCGCACAGGATGTACCGGCCTCAGCCACATTTGTAGTTGTTGTTTCATTTAATTTAAAATCAATCAATTTAAAATTAATAGGTCCAGCTAATTCTGGGCAACTGACTCTTCTTGTACAATGCTTTAAGTTTCTTCTTGTAGCCCAGAACATACCTGTATACCCGGTACGGTCAGTACTCATACATACATGTATACCCGGTACGGTCAGTACTCGTACATACTTGTATACCCGGTACGGTCAGTACTCGTACATACATGTATACCCGGTACGGTCAGTACTCGTACATACATGTATACCCGGTACGGTCAGTACTCGTACATACATGTATACCCGGTACGGTCAGTACTCATACATACATACATGTATACACGGTAGGGTCAGTACTCGTACATAACATGTATACCCGGTACGGTCAGTACTCATACATGTACATTGTATGGGCACCAAAAGCACAAGAGCAACAGCTCATGTGCATTGTAGGGAAATTCGCAAAATTAGCTGTGAGATTTTGTGTACTCAACTTTTCCCACAGTACATGCTGCATTCTACACACTGTAGAACCATATATGTACATGTACTATGTGCATATGACTGCTCTGCATGCACCCTTGCAAATACATGTACATGTATCAGCAGATGTGCTGCAAAGGAATTTGATTACGTAGTGATATTTTTATTGTGTATTTGCCAGGAAAGACTTAAATTGTGTAAATTGATGTTGGATTTTTGTTTTTTTCACAGTTCACCAATGTTGTATAAATTTCCACACTTTAATTTTGGCAATAAATATCATTAAAAGCTGGATATACCAGTACATGTACTGTACCCTTTTCACTGGATGCAGTGTACGGTACATGATGTGCATGTGCATGTACATGTACGTTGTAATGGAAAGAAGTGAAAAGTGTTTGGTAACCCCCCACAGCATTGCACTAAAGAACAGACTGTTTTACTGAGTGTGTTCTGAAACAAACACGTGCGTGCATGCTGTTGACATATCTTCATGTAACACTCCTGCCCTGTTTGGTTTCTGATACCCAACTTGACCTTTGATCTTGACCTCTGACCCCGACTGGGTCCCATAATGGATTATGTTTCCTGAGGGCAAGTAGCATTGCTGGAGCCTGATAGCAGTGCCACCATAGGCTGCCATGGAGCTGAGCAAACAATGAGGTGTGCTGTCATAAATTATGACAAGGCTGTAAAAATATAAGGCTGGAGTGCTCCACCAGTTGAACTTATTTTTTGCTCGTGTACTATTAGCGATAATACAATTGTGCCTTTGTACATGTGCATGGATGCTGTCCTTACGGCCAATGTCCAATGAAGCTGAAATAATCATTTCAAGTGGTTTCTTTTCTTTACCAGAAAACTACATGTACATGTAGCGTAGGTACTGGGGTAGTTCACAAACTGTATGCTTATCAATGGTACCTTTACCTCAAACTTGTGTTCAGTTATTTTGGTCCAGATTTTTAAATCATGATTGCTCCAGGTTCATGTACATGTACCTGTACATACTGAACATGTGCACCTTAACCAGGACAGTACATGTGAGCAGTGTGTTTTGGTACTATGGATTGTGCTTCCAGTACACACTAAGCAGTACGAAATGTTCAGTTAGTTACAGTGTAAGCACCGTCGATATATTGATATTATTGATATGGGTTTGATATCGATATCGCCGATGTTATGGTAATATTGATTGAAAATATCAGATTTTGGAGAAATATCAAAATATTGAAACTTCAAAAACATCGATATTGAAAACATATCAAAAATATCGCCAATGACGGAAGAACTTTATTAAAAAATATGAAAGTGCATCGTCACATTTACCCTAATTTTCAATAAGCCACTTCTCATGTTGGTTTCACGCTAAGTGATAAATGTCCCTGTTGCTTATACTCTGGGTGGCTTATACAGCAACAATTGAAGAATAAATTCAGTCACCTATCTCAGTCTCGCACTCAATAATTTGCGTACACTTAGCCTCCAAAATATCACAAAATTTATCCTCCAAAACAGAGAATTTTTGGCTGACCAAACGAACGTAAACTAGCACCACGTGCTGATGATATCACTATGCACAGCAGCGTGTAGGCCTATCCCATCCCTTGTAGGCAGCATAGGCAGTACAGACGCCAGAATATGTCACCAAAGTGAATTGGATCACACCATTACAGTGTAGGGGTGTACCCTTAGAATAGTTTACCAGCAATTCACGCCTGTTATAATATCTTGAAAATTAACATGAATAAATTTGACATATCAATAATATCGATATATCGGTATCGGCCAAAATACAATATTGACAGTGCCCATTACAGTGCCGGGTATTCAGAAGGACTCTAAAAGCCTTTACTTGAACTTTCTTCAAGAAATTTTGGTTCAGCCCCTTGCTTCTTTGAATCCTGTTCATAAAAAAGTGATGCAAATTGGCCAAAGTTTCTGAAAGAAATAAATGAGCATGCCCTTGCTATTCCCTCAAAAATAATTCCAGTATTTAATAATACACGCACGGTTTGAAAGTGCCCCAAACCTCTTTTAAAAAAGCTGATGAATGGACCTGTTACCAACATTCTAGACCTGTGTTTTTGTGGCGTACAGTCAATGGCAAGATCCAAGGTGTGCAGACAAGACCCATCATCCGGGCCCAGAGACTAGAGAACATCAACCTGTGCCTGAGGTTCCTCGAGAACAGAGGTGTTGAGATACAGCACATCAGTGCAGATGGTAATACAAAATGCCCCTTGGTAGAATATGCCACTCATTCCTCTAACATACCGTAGCTACATGTACCTGTGATTATTGTTATTATTCTAAAGTATTTCCGGTAATGAAACCAGAAATTCCTCAAAAGCACCCTAGGCTCTGAAGCTTGAAGAGAAGAGTCAGTGAGAAGCAGTTAAAGTTTTAGAGATGGGAGGAAAACCCCCGGAGGAATATTCTGGGTAAAACCCACAGAATCAGGTCGGGGGATGGAAAACCCCTTCCACCGTGTGCTGGTAATCAAATCCAAGCCACAGAGGTGAAAGGTGAAAAAAGAACCACTACACCAACCTGACTCCCCTACAAATACTTGTACCTGATGACAAGCATGTTATAATTTATAGTAACCTTTAGCCCGTGTGCTTGTAAAGAATATTAAAAAAAAAATTTTTCATGAATTGGCGAAAGTCTATTCTCCATGCAGGGAACTCCACAGCACATTTAGTTGTGCTTCCCTGTTCAAAGGACATCAAGGCCCATGTAAAGTAGCAGTAACCCAGCCTTTAAAATCCCCAAAAGCCTTTTGATAGATTTTGAAGGATCAGGGAGAGTTATTTAAAAGGAAAGTGTATACATGCACCATATTTACACCACTGAAGTGTTTTCTCAATTTTTTTTCTAGAACTAACTGACAGCAACCTGAGAGCAACTCTAGCCCTTGTCACTTGCTTGAGGAAACGATTTGAGGTAAACTCGTATCCTGAGTTCAAAGTAAAGTTTGCCCTTCCTTTTAACTTGTGATATCTTCCCAAACTTATATTAGGCTTTTTATCCCAAGTAAACATTGCCCAAGTTATCCGCAAGGAAGTATGGTTTGAGCATTGAGGAGTCGATGGGTGGTTCCTTTGACCTGAAACATCAAGCATTCAGAAACCTCATCCTGGAGGAGAAAATGCAATTGTTTCTTTCCCTTGTGCCACTTACATGTAAGACCCCAAAAATCAGTGATATGAGTTGTCTGTTCATTATTTTCACATTTGCACAAATGCTTTTACACTTCACTCCCAAAAATGTGACTGAAGGGAACAAAAATGAAGCTCTGATGTAGCAAATGAATTGTATACAGCGCTGCAGGTATTGTGGTTAATACATCATCATGTTGTTTGCCCTTTTTGGAAACATTAACGCGAGCAGAGACTACATGTGTGCTTCTCTCTTGATCTTGAATTCTGCAGGCATTCCATACCAGTAACAGTGCTCATGGTGATGGGTCTGCTGCTTCCATGGACAAGTCCATCCGACCGCCTACAGAGGACAGTATCCAGCCTTCCATTGGCCGAGAGGCTAGCATACACAGTTTCCACAGCCAGCACAGCGTACACAGTCAGGTGTGTTCATTGGTTGGGAAGTACTAGTATTCTTGCTGCTGGCTGAGAGCACACATGTGTTCCTGGTGTCCTGTTGATTAGTTCGTTCCAGGATCCCATAAGCATGATTTTTTTTTTTTTTTTTGCGATGCTTAGAATGCATGTTTGAACTTTCCTCAGGAGACCTTGATCTTGATGTTCCTGAGCAAGGTCGTTTGACACAATTGGTCCATTCAAGCCTGTGTTTTGTAGGGTACAAATGAAGCATTTCTGTATACTACTGTCTAGGCGTCTAACAGCTTTCCTAGAGAATGAGCCGAGCTAATTGTACAGTATAAAGAACATTATAAGCCTTATTTATTGTGGTGTGCAGGAAACATATCCATTCCAAACTCGCTATAGCTGAGCATTAAACCATCTGTCTCTATCAGGATCTATAAAATGCAGATTTAAATGCTATTTCAATTCACTAGCTTTATGTGGTGTCAATATGACACTTCTATGCATATAGGTGGCTGGTCAAAAAGTGGAAATTTCTTTGATTTCAACTTTTTTAGTTTTTTCAAATGCACCAATGAGAATATTAACCAGATATGAAGTGCATTCTTCTGGACTAGGAAACATGCACATGTATGTTGTGGTGGTGAATAACCAAATTTTCCCATATGTGTTTATTTCAGCACTCTGATGGCATTCCTTCAAGACCAAGGAGTTCCGAAATTCCAGGTAATATCACAAATGGAAATATTGGTAGTCCTTGCCCTTACGATTTTCTGTTTTATCTTGGATATTTTTGTACACGAGGAATACAACATGTTTGCCAGGTTGCATGTTACTTGTTTACTAAATGACATTTACCATACTCGTATGCCTACCGGTACCATGGTATTTTCTGTATTCACCATGATTTCCTTCACCCATGCACAAAATGTTTCTGATCAAATTTATGAGTGCATACCACCTGCTGAAACTAGATGTACATGTAGGTTTGCGTCTGGTTCCCCCTCTGTTGTATTGTGTACAGGTAATTGTGAAAACTGATGTACATCAAGTTTTTATTTCAGTCCATTGTATTGTTTTGTTTCTTTTTTTCCCCTGTAGCTACCATTCCGTCGGATGATGAGAGGCCAAGCCTTAATGTCGGCTCCCCAACCCCTGTCAATGGGGACACAGACCTCATGCTACCAGGGACCATGGCAGACTCGGACCCTGACGAACCAAGGCCTGAATTAGCAGACAAGCCCGAGAATGTCGTGGTCCCAGTAAGCTCACCCACTGAATGATTGCTCACTGTTTTGACTCGGGGAGGGGGGGTGTCTCAAACAAACATCTGCATTTTTAACCACTTCCTGCCGGGGCAGGTTTCAATGTTGATGATGCTGGGCCGGGATATTTATCTTTTTTTTTTCTGTTTTCAAAATTCTTTAAAAATTCCTATCTTCATTTACTGGACACTTACAAACACGTGAAGGACTGTCTGGTGTCCACTCTAGCCTGACAGACAAAATCTATTGACGCCTGAGTATTTCAGCCAGGCCTGCAGCCTTCTAAAAAGAGCCCAGATTGTGCGGTGTTATACAACTTTCTTTTGTTCACAAACCTGGCTCAGTGTGCTGCTGACCTCTTTTCAACAGGGGCCAGATTAGCATGCAGCAGTGCTGTGTGGCTCATCGCTGCGGTGATGAAGTGCTTTTGTCCCCTGTGGTAATACGCTCGCTCTAAATGCCCCAAACCTTGGTGTACTGTTTCAAAACAAGGCTGGATCATCTCCACTTTTGAGAGTAAATAAACGGGGCTAATGCCCAGCAGCCTGGTCTTATGTTCCGAATACTGTCTTTTGTTACAAGACCCTGTTCCCTTTGTCCGAGTTCGGGGACCCCGGCCACGCATTTAAAGCATACGTGTCCAGATCCAGAACCCCCAGCAGGAAGTTTGTTAATACACGCTTACTTGATCACTCTGCCTTCCTATAATTCATGTGTAATTCCCTAATATCAAACTATACATGAAATGTAATCTTAGTGCATTATCTGTTGCAATACTAAGCTGAACCCTTACCCACTAAGTTGTGCACAATACCAATTTTAATATTGGAGGATAGTGAACCATTTGGGTTAAAAAGCTATTTGACCATATCCTATCCTGAAGTGGACGTTTTTGAATTTTTATGTCAGACAAAATCATTCCTTTTTCTGCTCTCATTTTCATTGAACTACCCGTTCACCTTGCAAAAGTAATTTGGGGGCAGGCAGGTTTGCTTATGCAACATTCACCCTCATCCCTCTTTGACATATATGTAATTCTGGTGAACCAGTCAGTATATTTCCCACCAAATTTCTGGGAGTGGACGGGCAGTTTTTACCACTGGCTGGGAAGGGACAAACAGATACTTTAACCCTAACCCCCGAGGGTGAATGTAAAATCATATTGAAATTGGAGATTTGATGACTTTTAGGGTTATTTCAAAATGAAACCCTGATCCCAACATTCATCAGGCTCTATCTGCGATTAGCCTTATCAAGTTGAAATACTTGTGTTACGTTAAATATTTGTGTTGACGCAATAACAAACAAATAGAAGGGTAAACGCAGTTTTTCGGTTAAAAATCCTCCCGCACCAAACCTAAAGTTCTTCCCCTATCTGTATCACAGTCAGTCACCCAACTGGACTCCCAGGGTGTGTCACAGCACGGCGTCAGCTCCAGGAGGCAGCAGGTGGCCAGCAGCCAGAAGAAATCTTTCCGGCCACCGCCACTGACCAAACGCAACTCGGAAGGCATCCAGGGAAGCGTGAGTCCATACACTGCTTGACGTTACTGTAGAGGACAGACATGCCAAGGGAACTTCAAATTTCTCCTGTCCTCCCTGCTCTGTCCTCTGTGATAACCACCTGTGCTTAGTTTGGAGGGGAATATTATATAATCGGGACAATAGACAAACACAGTGCCTTGTCATCCATGGTGTGGTCAAAGCAGAGACAGCCAGGTTCATGCACATATGAAGACTTCACAATTAAAAAGAAATTGGACGCAGGCGCTCAGTGTGTCCCCTGTCAAATGTTTAAGAACCTTTGCATGCTTCCAGTGTTTTCCCACAGGGGGTGCTTGTAATGGAAATTATGGAGCTGTGTTCCAATCAATTAAAATGCAACCGACAAAAAGGTGAAAATTGACGCAGAAGAAGACTTCATTTCAAACACTGTGATACTTCCTACTTGAGATGAAATACTTCAAAGCATCATTATTGTGACCATTTCCATATATTTTACGTAATCTTTTGGTATACCAAAGGATGGGAGAAAGATTTGATCCCCATATATCTAAATGGAATAACTTCTATTGCAAATGGCTTTGAATATAAACAGTCAAATCCAAATCATCTGAGAACTCACTAATTAAATTTGAATTGTCATTTACCATTAAATCTGAAAGTCCAAGAGCACTACAAAATATTGGGCTTAGATTTACGATACCATCAAAGTGTCTTGCAAATTTCACCTGCGTAGATTAAAGTTTTTTGCATATCATTTGGTAGCCTATCATGTCTCGCTCCCCCATCCGGGATGCCCTGACCCAATCAGTGGAAGAGAAGCTAAAGAATCTTCTAGACAGTCCCAACCCAGGCGGAGGACCCCACAGGAATCTGGTACGTGGGCACCAGGAGGATGGATCAGGCATGCAACTTTTCCTTGGATCGGCTGATTTCCTCTTTTTTTACACTCATGACATTGAAAGTTGAAAAAACAGTGTACAAAGTCTTGTAAAGAATGGAATTTCCTCATTTTTGGTCAAAGTCCAAGTTGCATGCCTGATGGATGAATTCTCATATGGCCTGGGGCTTAGGCCCACCCAAATTTGTTTTCAAACAATTTTGAACATTAATTCACAGAATTGTCTGTGCAACACAAATGTATAATTGTCTGAAGAGGCTCTGACTTGGATACAATCTTTGACAAAACCCATCCTCAAGTTACGAACTCGCAGAAAAAACAGTGGATGGAATACACCATAGACGGGCAGGCAACACAAACTGTGCCTTAAAAAAATCCAACCCTAAACTTTTTGATCGAAAAACTTTGGAAGAAAAAAAAATATACTACCCACCTACCTACCTACCCAACCTATTTTTTTTTTTATGTAATAGGAAGCACAACTTTTTATTTTGTTTGGCCTTGAGTTAAACCATGTCGAAAGTATTTCACATATTTTTTTTCAATATTAGGTTAAAATTTGAAAAAGGGGGATATCATTTTAAGATGGTTTGAAAAAATACATGCATATCTTAAAAATACATGGCCAAATCTTAAAAGTCAATTGCATAAGGGAAAACAGGTTTTGCTGGTCTAATGCTGTTTTAATTGCCAGCACACAGAGTCTAGAAAAATGAAATCTCTTTTTTTTTCTACCTACACCCTGACCTATATTGTTTAATTTGTTTGGAGTAAGAAAACTTATAACAGGCAGACGGTCAAAAATTCCTTTCGCTTCTGTTGTTACAGTACATGTACATAGACATCAGGTATATGTACCGGTACATTTGTCATTTTACTGATTTTGACAGATGGGCCAGGGAAGAACAATTTTGAAGAGAAGACGATGCATCATTCAGTTTTTCCAAGAGAACAGCTTCAAAAATTCAGGAGGAAACTCAACCTCCTAAGTCGTAATTTGAAATCTTCAACTTTGTGTTTTGTTGTTGTCTCGTAGCCCATGGATGATGGAGAACTTCTAGAGCCTCCGCCTCCTAGACGCCGTAGTTACCATGGTGATGATGACGATGATGAAGAAAATGAGGCAGAAGTGACAATTGAGGACAACAAATTGCAAGCCATGTTAGAGGACCCCGACAAATTTGAGGATTACCACAAGGACTGGGACAGATACGTCTCGGATTACATCGTGAGTTTCCTCTCTCTCCTTGAAATTGTGGAATGACTTTTCATTTGATGGTTTATTGTCTTTGAAGGCACACCGGTGCTGTAACATCTTAGAAGGCACTCATGCTGCACACATCATGCCGCCTTGATATGACTGTCACTGCAGCCATGTGACTGTCCATGAATCTTTCATTGTCCATGGACTTGTACATGTGACAAACTGTCAGTATGATCAAGATTGTTAATGTGGCTTTGTCAGTGCAAAGTGTGATTCTCAATTTGAATATGCAGTTGTACGGTTTCCATAGTTCAGGAGCAAATGTGTTTGAGGAGTAGAAGCCTTGGTCCATCCATCCAAACGTCCTGATTTTGGTGTCTGCTGACCAACTTGTCCTTTGTTGTTACTTACATACCGGTAGTGTCAAAACATCTTGGTTACTAAAGTATTGTGTAATTGTCTTGTTAATCACAATGATGACACCAATTGTTTCTTTTCAGAATTAAGATGAAAGAAGAATTAGAAACTTGAAATTTTATAAATTTTTAATCCGAATTGGGCCAGTCATTTTCACATCATGACCAAGGTTCACAACATTTGAAGGGTCTCTGTATGAAAGAGGCTCAATTCCCTGTGTCATTAGTTTCGTTTGAATGTCTTTTGCCTCTAGCCATCCCACTCTGCTGAGAAGACCGAAGGCCCCCGAGCCCAGACTCTTTTGGACCGGCAGGCTTCCCAGCCCACCCCCCCTCCTTCATCACAGCAGAGGAGTCTGCCTTTCTTCCATGCGCCCCCTACGCAGCACATGGGGCCAGTGCAGAGCCCCCCTCCTGTGGCCAACCGCTCTCCATTCTTGAATGGGTGAGGATGACCTACTATCACCAGTTGAATCTTGAGTGGAAATTTCTCTGGTCTCTGAAACAACTCAAATGGCACCGTCAGTTAATTCCTTTTTTTATCATTTACACCATCAGGCCTCATCCCATGTCCAGTAGAGATCCACACAGTCATGGCAGTATATACAATGACAGTGGAAGGAGAAACCGTCAATATAATGGGGTAGGTACAACTGACTATTGAATGAACAGCAAACGAATTGGCTATGCACAAGGCTCCAGTATGCCACCAAGAAACAACATATTTACTTAGATATTACATCGGATAGGGCAGTGTTTGTATAAATTTATTTGCTTGGTTTTTTTGTTGTTATTAATCTCACATAATACTTGTAATGATAACAGTGGATTGCCTCTGGCTTGATGCGGAAAACCAAACCTGCGATACTACAGGAAAATCTCGATACCTCGAGTCTCTGGGGAATGGAAAGAAATTTGAGTTATCCGAAATTCGAGTTAAAAGAAGGTCCCGATTTCTTTTGAAGTTAAAGTCATTATTACGATGTGTATCATAACATGTACCTATAGGCTGACGCACAGTTACTGTAAAACTCCCTACAATGACTTTTGAAATGACACTGTGGTTACATGTATTTTATACTTTGGTGCCACAAGTTTTTGTTCGTAGAAAGACATTTTTGCGGAGGTTTTTGTTGTCAATCAGCTGATAAATAACACATTACATGTACTGTAAATTATTTAACCCCTTCACGACCGGGATTATTTTGACCGTGAC